GAAGATTACAAAAAAAAGTGAAGCTAGAAATTCCATTTGACCCAGATATTCCCCTTTTGGTTCTTTTCTCAGAAGAGTCAAAGACATCATATTGTAGTGACCCATGCATACCCATGTTTATGGCAACACAACTCATAATAGCTACATCTTGGAAGCAGCCTCTATGTCCATCAACAGATGAATGGATAGAGACAGTGTGGAATTTATATGCAATGGAGTACTATTCTGTCATAAAGAAGGATAACCTTGAATCATTTGTAAGATAATGGATGCACCTTGAGACCATAATGCTAAGTGAAATAAATCAGACACATGAGGTTAAATATTGCCTTGTTTCTTTTATATAAGAATCTCAAAGTATAAACAAATAGCAAAATAAATAAATAATAAGAAGTAGGGAGTAGATCATTTTCAAGTGTGGGTATCAAGTTGTGGAGAAAAGGATGAGAAAGAGGTGAGAAAGGGAAAGAAAAGAGAATTGAGATGTATTATGTACATGGACCAATTCCTCACAAGGAGTGTGATCATTATGTACTACACACATGGACTAATACAAAATAAAAACTGTAAAATGAAATACAAAAAAGGGAGAGATATCTTTTGCAAAAGGGAAGGGGACCAAGAGCTGAGGGGGCAGGAAGGAAGAGAGGAAGGGGAGGGAAAAGGATTAAAAAAATGGAGATGTGTTATGTATGTGTACCACCACCCCACGAGGAATGTGATCGTTATGTACTACAAACATGGAATAATAAAAAATACAAACTGAGTAAAAAAGAAATTCTTAATTTTAAAGTAAATTTATCAATCAAAGGTCATATACTTTCTTTTTAAAGAAATCCTTACCTACTGCAAGGTAATAAGTGTATCCTCTTACATTTTATTTTGAATGGTTGGACATTTTCCCTTTAACATTTAATATCTAAATACATTTTGAGTTCACTTTTGTGTATGGTATATGGATGCTCTGAGGGGAAGATGTATTAATCAGTTTTTGGGTGCTCTAACAAAAAATGTGAGACTAGGTACCTTAGAAAGAAAAAGTGTCTTTAGCACAAAAGTTCGGAGTCTAAAAGCTCAAGATCAGGTGGCTCTATCAACCCAGCCTCTGGTGAGGGCCACCTTGGCAGCATCAGGTGGCAGATGGCATTGTGATGGTGGAAGGCGTAGGAGAGGACGTGACACAGAAGCCGCAGAGATTCAGCAACCAGGCTTACTATTCCTTTTTTTTTTTGAGACAGAGTCTTGCTATGTAGCCCAGGCTGGCCTCAGACTCACGGCAACCCTCCTGCCTCAGCCTCCTGAGGGCTGGGATCACAGGCGTGCACCACCACACCCGGCTTGCTATATTACTATTTTTATATCAACTCCTTCTCCAGGAACTAGATGGGGTCCCACAAGGATTAGGCACATTAATCTGTTCCAAGATCACTGCCCCCCGTGACTAAATTACCTTCCACTGTGTACCGCCTTTTGGACTTTTGGGAGGCGCTCACACCATATCAGAGTCATAGCACATAGTAAGAGAATACTTGAAACTGCCTATTCTGTTCTTTAATGAGTATGCTATTGTTCATATTTTCTGGTTTCTGTGAGTCATCTTGAGTAACGTACGCTCTGCTAAGAATTTGTCTTTACCATTGCTTTCAATTTTACTGGCATAAAAATGCTCTTAGTATGCTCTTGTTCTGTCTGTAATGGCTGAAGCTTCAGTAATAGTATCCACTTTGCATTCCTAATACTGTTTGTGCTTTTCGGCGCATGATCATCTATCTAAGGTTTGACAATGTTGCTGTTCTTTTCAAACAATTGACTTTTGATTTTCTTAATTCCTTCTTCTGTATTGTGACTTTGTGTTCTTTTTCAGTGTTTTCTGCTCTCAACTTTATAATATTTTGAGTCTATGTTTCCAGTTTATTCCTTTGTTATCTAACTAACAATTTTAGATTTCATTGACTTGTAACCATGTTTTCTTTTCTCATGTATACATTTAAGGCCAAAATTTTCAAAATGTTTGGCCACATTATAGGTGCATTGATAAATAGGTTTTAAAAATTATTCCATTATGAATATTTTATAATCTCCATAATGCTTTCTTCTTTGTACTATTTTCTATTGTGGTTAAATATATGTAACTTGAAATTTATCACTTACCCATTTTTTATTATAGAGCTCAGTGAATAAAGGCCATTTATATGACTGTATAACCAGTACCACTATCCACTTCAGAACTTTAACAATCTTTTATTACTGAAACTCTGTTCTCATTAAACAAGAAATCCCCACCCCTGCCTCCCCAAGTGCCTGAAAACCAACACTGTACTGTCCATCTCTGTGAATTTGACTACTCTAGGAACTTCGTGTTGTAGAATCATGCAGTATTAATTCCGTTCCTGCCTGGCTTCTTTCACTAAGTGTAATGCCTTTGTGCTTTATCCATGTGATGGCATGTGACAGAATTTTCTTCCCGTTAAGGCTGAATAACATTCCCTTGCGTATTACACTATATTTGGGCTATCCGTTTATCTGTCAGACATTTGGATTACATACTAATCCATTCTCTGTTGCTATAACAAAACCCCCAATGTTGGGGACTGTATAAAGAAAAGAAGTTTTAGTTAGCTCACAGTTTTGGAGGCTGACAGGCCAAGATCCAGTGAACTTATGTGCCTTTGTGTGTGGGTCCCCCTGGTTGCCTCACATGCCAGATGACACCACAGGAAGACTGTGTGAGAGAGGGAGGGAGCACAGGCAAGACATGAAGCCAGAGAGCAGGGAGGGGCGAGACTTGTTCATTGATAACAGCCCTCTCCTGAGAACTCATTCCCTTCATTATTTGTGAAGGCAGCACTCCCAGTGACCTAGTGACCCGCCAATAGGCTCTGCCTCTTACAGGGCTCCCACTTGTCATATCTTCACACTGGGGACCAAGCTTGCAACACATGAACCCTTGCAGGATATATCACATCCAAGCCATTGCCAATTGCTTCCAGCTTTTGGTCCTTGCAAATAATGCTGCTGTGAACACAGGTGGACACATTACTGCTTGAGTCCTGCTTTCGGTTTTGGGATGTATACTCAGAAGTGGAATGGCTGGATCATATGGTAACTCCATGTTTACTTTTCTTGAGGAACTGTTGTACTGTTTTCCACAGCAGCTTCATCATTTGTCCCTGTCAGCAGCTTATTATTTTGGGGGTTTTTTTTTTTTTTTGGTAGTACCGGGGATCAAACTCGGAACCTTGCGCTTGTGAGGCAGGCAGCAGAACCACTGAGCTAAATCTACGGCCTTCTGTTTTGTTTTGTAATGACTCTTTAACCACATGTAGAATCCTGCTCACAATTATTTGGGCTTCCTGGATCTGAAGATCAATGTACTTCATGGCTTCTGGAAAAATTTCAACCTGGATCTAATCGAGTTTTTTTCTCTTCTCTTTTCTATTATCTCCCTCTAGAACTTTGATTGGACATATGCTAGACTTTCTCACTCTCTATGAAATTTAATTCCTCTTATTTTCCACGCATAAGTCTCCCTGTTTACATGCTGAGTGTTCAGCTGTCTTCTGATTCAAAAATTTTCCAGCTATGTTCTAATGTATTAAGTTTCTCTTTCTTTTCTTTTCTTTCCTTCCTCTTCTCTTCTCCTCTTCTTTTCTTTTTTTTTTTTTTTCCCAGTGCATTCTACCACGGAGCTACATCCCCGGGCCCTGATTTTTTATTTCTGATAATAATGTCATTTGTAGACATTTTGTTTATGATTTGCATTTCTCTGGTCAGTTTTAAGCCTCTTGTTCTTTCAGATGTTCAAAGTCATTTATTTATTTATGTATATTAACCATACCATACTTTATATTCTGTATCTGATTAATTCCAATATCTACTTTTTTGAATCTGATTTTGCATTTTATTATTACCAAGGCCTCTCATTTACAATGATTCTTTCATGTCTTCCTGGGTTTATTCATTTTTTCTGTTATCTCATACTATTTGTAACTTTAGCTGCATGAATTATTTGAGATCTTCTTTTAAAATAATTCTCGAAAGATGTTTTGACTGTTATACAAAATACAGCCGGTGTCAGGACCACGTTAAACTAGATAGTAGACTTGGTAGTTGGGTAGTATCTGGATTTCAGCTCCACATTTGTGTGAATGTGGGCTTCTGTGCAGTGTTGCCTAAGGGAGACTATTTTTTTTTTCTACTCTTATAGCTGAAGCTGAGGTAGGAACACACCTTCCCTGTCTCCTGTTGCTAGACAGGGTGTTTCTATTTCATCTGCTGAAAATGTCACCCTTTGGGAGACCTGGCTCTCTACCATGGTCCCTGATTTCTCCTCCCACCTTACACAGGGCCCAGCTTTCCTTTTTGACTCTTACATTCTAGGCCATCAGTGTTGGGTGAATGTTTCAAGCCAAGCACAGGTTCCAACATGCCCTTATGTCTCAGTTCCCAGTGACCTGACCATCTCTGCTCTCAGATTGTTTCCTTTCTAACCATAAGCTTGGTCCAATTTTGCAAAATAAGTTTTTATATAGTTTATCATTTTAGGTGTTCGCTACCAGGAGGCATGGATATCAAATCCATTTTACAGCAGGGAGGTCGTGACTATATCCATATTTATAAGCAGATGACTAACCACAAATGAAAGTGCCTTTAAATATTCTTAGCATTTTTGAAATTAAGTCTGCTTAAAATGAAACAAACTACACATGAAAATGAATCTTCCCAGCTTGTGTTGGAGAGGTTTGTGCTATTTGGGTGTACACTGGAATTTGTGTTGTCTAAATGACATAAAATTTGATAAACATCTCATGCTTAAGGCTAAGTAGATTCTGTGTAGGAGGAAAAATAGTGGAATTTTAATCAAGTATGCACCTACTTTATTGATCTGTAGGAAATGCAATACATTTTCAGTATGCTATTATAATTAGGAATATAGAAATAAAGCTATCATTTTACTATTGTTGCACCATTTAACTATATTATTATTCTCTCTTTATTAGGCATTAGAATCCTCTTTGACTGTGCTGAGTACAGATGGGGTGATCTTTTTCGTGACTGAAAACATCACATCTCTCCTTGGCTACTTAGCAGTAAGTTCTTTCATCATTTTGGAAAGCAGATCATTTAGGTTTGTCTTCTGGGGTTATTATTTCTTTCTAAGGCACATGACACACTGGAGAAGGTATTCTCAGTGTTGTCACAAAATTGTCATCTGCATTGGTTTCAGTTTTCAATCTATATGCGAGGTAATGAAGCATATTTTCCTTTCATGGTTTGAAAACTACCCTTGTAGGCAATCCCCAAAGAAGCGGGCTTTTTGAAATAGCAGTCGCTAGAATCAGTGGAGAGTGTCCAGAGTGATGACCTTGAGACGAGGAGTCCCTCTCTGTGATGGATGTGTCACATGGTGGTGTTTGAATTTATATATTTTGGAGTCCGTTAATTGTTCATTAAACAATGAATGGCATGGTTTATTTATCCTGTCCCATTGTTCTAATTTATTTTTGTATCTTTATATTGAATAACAAATTATTGTCTAATTTAGAAAAAGAAATAGAGTTTCACAGTTTAACCATATGATAGGTATTACCAGAGACACCTGTGCATCGGTTGTGCTTGGGGTCTGTGGTGTCCAGAAGTGCTCACTTGTTCTTGAGCCCTTCGGTGGCGTGGTGTCCATCTTAGGAAAGCTCTCCCCATCTTCTTAGCTCTACTGAGTTGGAATATATGATTTCCTACTGATTTAATTGATCTTCAAGCTGTACACCCAACAAACATTATTTAAATATTACAGTACTACATTCCTCTCTTGGAATATTTTATACTGTGATAAAAGCACCATAGGCTGGTTGGTTTATACAAAATAAATTTATACTTAGAGCTCTGGAGATCAAGAAGCCTAAGACCAAGGTGCCAACCGATTTGGTGCCTGATGGAGGCCCATTCTCTGGTTCATAGACAGCTTTCTTCTGGCTGTGTCTACATACTGTGGAAGAGACAAGGGAGCTCTTTGGGGTTTCTTTTATTAGAATACTAATCCAGCACATGAAGGCTCTGTCCTCATGACTTAATCACCCTCAAATGCTCCACTTAAAATACCATCACATTGAAGGTTAGGTTTCAACATACAGATTTTGGGGGAACAAACACTCAGTCTATAGTGATGCCTTCATATTACACTTATGCACACATAAAAAGACCATGTCGACTACATCCATTGCTGACAACCCACTCCCACAAAATCTGCATCATTGGGGGTGTTACGTTAATCTTATGTGGGTGGTTGTTTTTATTTTACAACTAGTCTTCACTCCACAGAATTTTCTCAAGAATTCAACAAATCCTGAACCAGACATCCAATTTTTAAATATAGACTCAATTTTTATAAAAGTGAAATTTTATAATATAAAATTAAATATAAAATATAAAATTATAATATAAAACACATTTTAAATATAGGACTCAGTTTTTAAATATAGAAATAAATAGAAGCATGGCTTGACTTTATTGTAGTTATGTTGGAAGTGGATTCAAAACTTATTCTACTAGTTAAACTATACAAGTGAGCATGATCATCTTGAAAACTCACAGTACATTTTATACCCTTTTATTGTAATTTATAGATACTGGAACCTGTTTCTTCTATTTCTCATTCTCTGCCTTTCTTTTAAAAAATAGTTTACATTTCCAAATTCAACTTATATTTGCAGGATGCTAAATAAAATGCAAGTATTAGAGATACTAATTGAATTGGACTTGAGGATATTTATATCATAGAAGAGGGAGAGTGTTATTACATCTATATCAAAGATGGAATGTGAGAATGATCCAATATAGCTTAAATTTTATTATAATGAAGATCAGAAAACTCCCGAAATTTTGTGGCAGCTGGTACTGCTTAAACCAAATTCTTTGTTGACTGAGATTGATGACTTTTTCTTATTACATGGAGATTTTTCATAGTGGTGATGTTAGTTAAAATATTATCTTCATTTTCTCATAATATTTACTTCAAATTTTCACTTTCAAGAGGCTTTCATTCTTCAACATTTGAGATGCCCCCCCCCCACACACAGTCAGTATAAATATGGAAGGTATATCACTAAGATGGTGCTGAAAGGCGGCTGTTGTAAATAGTGTACTCAGGAAAGGCCTGTCTGATTAGGTGACATTTGAGCACAGATCCGAATGGAGCAAGTAGGTGTTTGACACAGTAACTGGTACAAGTGTGTTCTAGACAGAGGACAGAACATGTAGAGAGGTCTGAGAACAAGAATATGTTTGGTGTAGGAAAGTTTCAGCAACAAGACTGGTGTGATTGGCGTATGGTAAGCAAAAGGACAAGAACTAGGAGATGAAGAGACTAGAAGAGTAGTGTTTTAGTTACTTTGCTCATTGCTGAGACAAAATACCCAATGGCCAAAGTTAAAGGAGGGAAGATTTATTGTAGCTCACAGTTTGTAGAGGTTTCAGTCCATAGTTGGCTGGCTCCAAGGCAGGGCAGCATGGCAGAGGGGCGTCAGGGTGGAGAAATAATTCATTGCGGGCAGAAGGCACCAAATCAACAAGCAGCAAGTGACAAGTGACAACAGCAGCCCCTTTTCTCTGTCCCTTATATTCTATCCAGGCTCCCCACCCTTAGGACAGGTAGCACTCGCACCCAGGGTAGAGCACCCTTAATTCTAGCATTGCACTAGGAATCAGTCCCAGCGTCATATCCTTCATCTCAGCATCATACACTCTAGATCCAGCCATCTCTGAAAAGCTCCACTTATGACTGTGTGAGGCTTTATGGGGAGCATCTAGATACAAGCCACAACAAGTAGCAAGGATCCACCTTGTGTGTGATCACTGCCTTCCCTCTGAGATGAGATGGAGCCATTGAGGAGATAGAGCAGATGTGGATAATGACCTAAGTTTTGTGATGCTTTGGCCGATATGTTCAGAATTCATGTGGGCAGCAGGCATGAAAAAGCGGAGTCGACTTGAAAACAGTTGGCTATTCTGGGCAATAGATGGTGGGAGATTGGATAGAATTGGAAGTGGAAGTATATATAGGTAAAATACACTTTGCCAATGGATTGGGAGGGGATATGGCATAAAGGTAAAGGTGGAAAGGGTCTAAGTTATGATGTTATAACATTGGTTATGAATAAAATAAGGTCCATTATTATAATCACAGTTTGAATATGTATCTGAAATTTGCCATCATATTTTTCCCAATCATTAATTCCTTGACAGTTTTTCTTTTGGAAAAACATGTGGTTGCGTGTAGTGGTAACTTGTAGTTCCATGGAATCACTACCCCACAATCTTAGCGGCCTGTCTGCCTGCTCACCCTGCTCCATTGCTCCCTTGAAAGAAAATAAATTGTGGGAATTTGCACATAGCCATTCTCTTGTGGTTATTCAGCAAATGCACCTTTTAATAATTTGACAGTACACTTCATGGAAAGAGTTTTTCGGCACTGAAATTTCAACAGAAGAGAATTGTGCAAGTTTTACACATGAGTATATCTTTAGTTTGCTACAATTGTGGGCAGATTTGCTGTGTTCTTCTTGAGGATCTCATTGCACAACAGAGAATTGCTAGTGATGAGTCTCATCTTGGGCTTTTCTCTTTTTGATTTTTTGTTTGTTTTTGTTTTTTTGCACCGGGGATCGAACTTGGGTCCTTGCACTTGCGCAGCAAGCGGTGAAACTACTGAGCTAAATCCCCAGCCCTCTTTTTTTGAGACAGGGTCTTGTTACATAGTTCAAGATGTCTTGCACTCACTATATGTAGTCCAGGCTGGCCTCCAACTCGCAGGAACCCTCCCGCCTCAGCCACTTGAGTGCTGAGATGGCAGGTGTGCACCAGGATTCTTGGCTGTGATAAGTTTCATGTGATTTGAGACCCAGTCTGGATCTCCTGCAGCACTCTTATCCTTCGGATTCTCAGTAAATGTCATAGATCGGGTAAATTCCTTTCTGCTGTTTTTGGCATGACGGAGACCATAATAATATCTGTATGATACCTAACAGGTATTCAAACTTGGCTTTTGAAAAAAAGTTCTTAATTTTTCTCTGGTATTTACCCTTGCTTCATTAAGCTCTAAGCACCTTGATGGTTCTGCCTTGAGTAATAAGAAGAGCAAATGCCAAAGACTTACAAAAATAACAAGAGATTGATGGTGGTTTCAGGTCTTTGCCCTTTCAGAAGCAGGGTCACTGGAATGATTGTTGGCTGTTGTTTTCGTTGGTTATTTATTATAAGGCTTATTGTTACAGTTCTTATTCCTGCAGAGTCTTCAAGAAACTCATTGCTTCTCTTCCCATCCATATGAGTGTAGACTGTGAAAAGATAGCTCACTTTGAATTATTCTAAATGACAGTGCTAGCTTTTCTTTCAGTAATGAAGGAACCGCAACATAGCACTTAATACCTCTTGTTTTGGTCCTGTTTTTAGTTTGTGTCATAATTCCTGTGCATATCCTAACTGCCCTACTTGACTATGTACTCATCATTTAAGTTATAATTCATATCAGGCTCATCTTCTATAACTTTTGCAAGCACACAGTATAAAAGTTTTAAACAAATGAGTTAGTGTAGAATGCCCAAAATGAAGGCACTCGTTCAGTAGCAAATTTTTTGGCCCTGAGATGAACCGGACTTGAGGTAGCTGTGGAATGATAGAACAAGAAACACTGAATTGGATGACACTTCTACACAAATCTCATTTCTGTGTTCCTGAATTCGCAATGGTTAGACAAGCCTTAATTTCCTCAGAACTAAAGGAGCGGCTAATTCTTCCTCTCACGGGGGATTCTGCAAGGTAGTATGTGTGTGAACATACCTCACACGATGTCAGGCTTGGAGTATTTGCTTTATCCTCTGTTACATGGATGGATGGATGGATGGATGGATGGTTAGGTGGGTGGCCCTCACTGATCAGAGGTAATTTGCTTTGTTATTTAAATTGTGTTTTAAAACTAAACCAACAAAAGTATTTTATTGAAAAGTTTTATGTTTAATGAAAAGAAATCCACATCTTTTGGGAAAGCAATAATTTATGGAATGACTTTCTCTGTGAAAATGCATCATCTATTATTTCCATAACATTTTGTTTGCTAAATTAAGGTAATGTTTCTATCCTGAGTCAAGCCAAGCTTTTTCTTGATTGAGATGGGATCCATCTGCTAATTTGAGTGTTGGCCAACTTATAGTCTGCTTCTACAAATGGGCCATAAAGATATATTTCTAAATATTGACTGTGTATTATTAATACTAATCAGTTAAAAACTAATTTTAATTTGTGGTTCACCAGCCAAAGCCGTTATTCAGCTTGTTTCTATCACATTAAAAACTCATTACTTCTGTGTCTGGTATTCAGTTTATTCATGTGTCACCATATTTTATCAACATAGTACAGCATTATTTAGTCACTCAACTGATCTATATTGAGTGTTAATTTATGCCAATCTGTGTTTTAGGTGCTCAGGGTGCAGCATTGATTAAGACAAACAAGGTCTCTGTTCTGACACAATTTGTATTTCAATAGGGAAACAATAAACAGTAGCAAAATGATAGTGAAGCACTGTCAAAGACTGTGCTATTTAAAAAGCTTGAGAGATGAAATATACAATATGCATTATTTTTCCTTGTGCACTGTTGATGGGAAAATAAAATAGGACCACTTTTATAGAGAATGGTATGGAGATCTGTCCCAAAACTAAAGTTAGAACTAGTATATGCCCAGCAATCCCACTGCTTTGTATATACCCAAAGGCAAGGGAACCTACATGTGGAGAAGACACCTGCACTCCCATGTGTTAGTGCACTGTTCACAATAACCAAGATGCAGAAGGAGCCTAAGTGTCCATGAACAGAGACATGGATAAAGAAAGTGTGGTATATAACAAACAATGGGACTTTACTCAGCCATAAAGAGAATAAAATCCTGTCACTTGTGACCACATGGGTGGACCTAGAGGGGATTATTTTGTTAAGTGAAATAAGTCAAGCACAGGGCAGAAACACCACATGACCTCAATCATATGTGGAATCTGAAAACGGTGATCATAGAAGTTGGAAGCAGAAGAGTGGTTACCAGAGGCTGGGGACAGAGAAGGAAGCAGAAGAGGGAGTGGTCAGTCAGTGAGTGCAGTGTTACTGTGTTATAGGGGAAATAAGTTCTGGTGTGCCATAAGAGAGGCTGATCAGTGGGTGGTAAGTTCCGGTTAGACAGCAGTAGGAAGTTCTGGTGTGTTGTTGTGCACTAGGGCGACTGCAGATAGCAATGATGCATTATGTATCGCCAACTAGAAGGGAGAAACTCTGAGTGTACTCACTATACAGAAAGGATAACATTTAAGGTGATGGCTATGCTAATTACCCTGAGTTGAGCAGTATCCAGTGTATACATCATATTGTATTGTATAAATATTTACATGTACCATGTGTCAGTCTAAAAAATAAGTAATAAAAGTTAATAATAGGAAGGAGAGATCCATTGCATCAACTGCTGAGACGTTACGTAAGATGAGGGCTAAAAATGGACTACAGGACTTCGCAGTATGGAGGTCAATGGTGATCTGGAGTGATTAGGATAAAGACTTGGTTGGTTCCCAGAGAAAGTGGAGAAGTGAAGAAAAGGGAAGTGGCCAAGTATAGTTCGTTTCAGGATTTTTATTTCCAAGTAGACCAGATAAATGGAGGTATAGCTGGAGGAGAAAACATAGTATGAAGGGAGGTTTAGAGTTAGAATTTTGTGTGGATTTTCTTTTTAAGGGGATGGATATTACAAAATATATTATACAGCACTTGCATGCTTACGGGAAGAACCAGTAGAGAGAGAAAGCTTGATGATACGGGGAGTGGAGATGTTTTTGGAACAATATCTTTGAAAAGCTGAGAGAAAACAGGGCAACATGCACAAGTGAAGGAGTTAGTCCTTGGTGGGTGGGAGCTTATTCATCGGACTAGGAGGGAAGGCAGGTTTCTCAGCACAGGAATACATAGGCTGGTAGATTTGGGGCAGGAAGATGTTGACGTTTCCTTTTCTTTTTTTAACAGAAATAAATGAGGTCAGCTGAAAATACTATAGAGGGCTGGGGGCTTAGAGGTTTGAAGGAGGAAAAGACAAGAAGGAGTCACATTGAAGAGTAGGAAGATGAATTATCAGAGAAATGCTTTGGGGCAGGTTTGAGTACCCATTATACTAATGAGTTTTTTTCATCCACCTTCAGTTGCTTAGGTGAAGATGTGGGGTAGATGAAGAGTTGGAAGTATCCAGAGTTGAGATTTTCTCCCACAGATATGGCAGAGGGGAAGAACAAATGGGATTGATTACAGCGATCTGGGAATCTTAGCTGGCCAGGGATGAATGAGACTATTGGAGGGAGGCAGCATACAGTGCACACCTGAAAGGATGGACTGGAGGTCTCTGGAGGTCGCTCTAGCATTGCTGGAGAGGGGAGGTGCTTTGCATGAGTACATTGGAAAGGTCAGGATGGCTGTCACAAAGTGAGGCAGTGTAGCTGGGTGAGCTACAGCAGTGTAATCAGATGGCTGAAATGGGGCAGGATCTAAATGCGCTGGAGGTGGGGAGATGGGGGGCAATGAACAGTATTAGCATATAGAATAAAATGTGCTTTCTCCTCCTCCTCCTCTCATCCTCTCATCATCTCCCTCTCCTTGTTCCCAGTATGAGGTTATGGGCAGGAAATTATTGACCTTTCTGCCTGATGAAGAGAAAAATGAAGTCAGCCAGAACATTAGCATGACACTTCCTCTGTCAGAATCAGGTACAGATTTTTTTTCAAGTATTAAATTCTTGGGTTTTAAGAGACAAGGAGCACTCAGTGGAGTAGTTTTTAAAAGGGCATTGAAGTCACTATAGCTTTTGATGATATGTTAATTTAATTTTATATATCACATAGCCAGGCATAGTGGTGCACACCTGTAATCCCAGCACTCAGGAGGCTGAGGCAGGAGGATCACCACGAGTTTGAAGCTAGCCTGGGCTACATAGTGAGTTCAAGGCCAGCCTGAACTACATAGTGAGACCATGTCTCAAAAAACCGAAAAGAAAAATTCATATATCAAAAATTATATCTTGAGTGTTAAAAAAGGCTCTTCTGCGCTAAACCTCATTCTTCACTGGGAGCCCTTGTTATTACAGATTATATAATTGCATTAGTGCTATATAAACAATGGATGACTGTGTATTATTCTAGCTAGTACCTTACTCTACAAATTCAACACACATACAGTGGCTATGTGTGTGCTCGCATTCATGGAAAGAAAGTAATGCTCTGTAAAATTTATTCCAAGTAACACATTGGTCTTATGATATGATCCTACAGGATATGTTACAGCACTAATCAAACTTGCTTGATTTCTGTTCTCTTTAGTGGGAACCCACATTGATTTTTGTTGTCATTTAAGAAGAGGAAATGCTGAAAAGGGACAGTGTCTTAATTATGAGTATGTGAAATTCGTCCTGACACTCAGAGATACTTGCAGTAGTAAGTAATTCACTTCATCCTCTCCAAATAAGGTTCATGAGTTATGTAGCCTGCCATTGCTGACATAAATGTTGTCTTACTCTTGCTGATCATGTGCTCCTTGATGTCACAAATATGAGTTTGTGTTTACTCATATTAGACATTAACAAATTAATAGTGAAATTTACAAGGTGGGGTCACATAGAAACATGGGGGATTAAGATGATGAAGGATGGCTCTCTCCTTTTATAAAATGAAGAAATAATTGTTAAATCTTAATAAGAGAAGTTTAATGCATAGCCAAGCTCAAGTGAAGGAATGCGTACCTGAAATTGAGAAATAAAGCAGTAGCACAATGACAGCAACGAAGTGGATTCTGTGGTGGCCTCGATGGATTTTAAATCATACAGAGACTCCCTGGACTGGGATCTGGAATTCCTAGCCCCTGTCAAGGACCAGTGCAGAAAACTTAGAGGTCACTTGTTAAAGTTCTGTCCACTGGCCTAGAGGAAGAGTGAAGTTGTCATCTCTCCAGAAATTTGAACACACAGAGAAATGTGCCATTTATAGTACTCCAAAATTCAGACTTGGGTCATGTGTGGATGTCAGGCCTCAAGTACCATACTGTTTGTAAGGCTCAGGAAGTGCAGGTTGAAAAAATAACAAATTAGTTGAAGTTTGTTAGTGTGTAGGGCCACAAAACATCGGGGGCTTGAATCAGAGAGGAATGGCTCAGATAGCTTAGAAATACATGAAAAGATGCTCCAACTCACTGAGAAGCAAAGAAAGAAAATGTAAAAACTAGGAAGGTGGCGTTGCAGTCAGTGAGCTATGCCCACCAGAGTGGTACAGATTAGAAATGTGAATAATGCCAGGTACTGATGAGCATATGAGAGATGAATGAATAAGTAAATAGTGAAGATTAGTTCACATAGAGGTTGGTTAATATATTTCTTAAGCTTTTTAGAGATTAAATGCCAGACACTTTTTAAAAAAATCTTAGACACTCTCACAAACACACACACTGTTAATATCCATGTGGTCTATGTAAAAGAAAGGCTCTAGATTCCTTTTGGACCCTAACATGTACATCCACAGGCTAATAACAGAAGACTGAAACCATGAACACACAGCCACCGATTCTCAGTACTGACTTCTCTGTGTTTTGGTGGGGATCATGGGGGGAGGTTGGCTGGAAAGGAAGGAAGACAGGGAAAATCCCATGACTCAGAATTTTGAAAATTATCAATGGGCTGGTAAACAGTACACTGACTGGGCAGATGTCTTAAAAAGAAAAAAAAAAACAACTGGTACCTGTCAATTATATTGTCACATGTGTGTGCATGTCCTTTAGAGTCTTTTGTGTTTTTGGGTGGCTTCATTCCCAACTGCCTTGGCATTGAATCAGCTGCTGTGAAATTTTCCAAAGAAGACCGTTTCTTTCTTGTGGGGTCTGTTTGTGTTATCAATACTGCGATCCTAAAGGTGAGTACACTGCGTGTGGCCATCAGGCTTCCTTAGCAGACGCATCCTCTTCGGCCTCTCGGCCACCAGACACCATTGCTGAAGCGCTGACTGTGTAGATACAGGAGCAGACACTGAGCAATTCTTTGAAGAGTTAGACACTCTTAGAAGAAATGCACAGTCATTTACAGCTGATTTTGACATGCTGTGAAATAATCTGGCTCATGATCAGAAGTGAACATTTTGGGAAGTAGACAAAGGAAAGTTTCTGTTATAAAGTAAATTTCAAAGTGACTCTTTTATTTCTTTTTCGTTGGGTAATTGACTGTAACAGTTCTTGCTCTCCTAATGTTCTTCCAGTTTGTCACTCAGAAATTCTATCTCTAAGAAGAAAAGGTGATCTTTAGAATCCATCTGACAGCTTCAGGATGAATTAACTTTTTCATGCAGCAACATATTTAGCAAATACCTCTTATGCTTCAGTACTGTAACATGCTGAAGAAACCTTAAGGGAGAGAGACAATAGCTACATATTACTGACAAGTGCTGCAGAGATGAGAAAATCGAATAATGTGCTAATAACTGCTGAGGTTAGGGAGTTCGGAGAGTGCTCAGCAGAAGTCTCTTTCTGATGATTTGTATTTTGGGCAGAAACTGTCAGTGAGGGTAGGAAATGAAGGCGATCCAGGCAGAGGGCGCAACAGCTCTAAAAGCCCTAAAGTAGTGACGAGCTTGCAGAGTTCAAAGCAGGGTGTACAACTAGAAGAAGTGAAAGAACAAAGGCATAGTAGAGAAAGCAGGATCCAAGAGGTAGGCACAGGCCAGACTATGTAGAACTTTGAGATCTAGAGCAGTGTACGTGAGTTTTATTCCAAGTGCAGTGGGGAGCAGGGGGTGACATGACCTGAGCTTATTTTCAGAGGTCTGGCTGGTTTCTAGGCAGTGAACAGAGCACAGAGAAACAAGAGTGGAAGCAAGAAGACCCCTGTGTGAGAGATACCCCAGGACACTGAGCAGTGGCACGGTGTGAAGCCCCCTTCAGCAGCTCTGTTTGGACTAAGTTCATACTGTGAGGATGCTGAGTGACAGTGCAGCAATGGCCAGGGGTGTCATTGTTACTGTCAGATCACTGCTAGTTATCCTGAGTTTCCAGAGAGATCACTTGCTCTGCTCTACCTTGCATCTCTGGTTTAAAATGTGTACCTTCCTGAACACATTTCCAAAACTGTGAATGCTATGGGCCACTCAGGTTTATAAACTGTTTGTCTGCTCGCCCCTGTGCAAATCAAAGGAGGCCATGTATTTTGGTAAAATACACTCTGAGGAGATGGAGGGGCCCATGTGCCTCACATCACCATCTCACCTTTCACAGGTGGCTTGGGGTCTTTTACAACAAGGAACAGTGGGGGGCAGACCCCTACCCTGGCTTGATCACTTTCAGCTCATTGTCCCCTTTCTTGTGGAAAGGAAACCGGACTCTGAGCTTTTTGGTGTCAGCACCTGCATATTCTGTTCGTATTTTTGTGCGGAGGAGAGATGTGGGAAACTATGTATGTTCTAGGCCTCAGGGAGCCACTTGTCTCTGAAGGAAAAAAGTTAACTTTTAAAGGTCTACTTAGCTGTGCTGTGCTGTCCTTATATTCAGGTGGAGAGCAGTGGTCTATTCATCTTTCTTTCAAATTTAAGAAGAGAAAAGTGGTATAGAGAAAAACAACTGAAGGCAGTTTCCTGATTCAATTGCCTATTCCTTCTCTGCAGTACCCTGAGATTTGCATTCTTTTCTCTACCACAAGAATATACTTGTAGGCATCCCAGTTTAGGGCTCAACCCCAATACCTACTTCCTCCATCCCACATGACCCCCTCAGTTGTTTTCTATCCCAGTTTCTCTCTGGGTTTCTAGGACATCTGTTCCATATTAGCGCATCGTTTGAAGGACAGATCTCATGAGAACAGAGAGCTTGTGAGCAGGAGATTGTAATAATGTGACTGTGTAACACACTGAGAAATACAGTGAGCTCGGAGGTCCAATAGCTCTATGTCCTGGGCCAAATCATTATGTCTCTATCATACCCAGTTTCCATATCTGTAAAACCCAGTCTTTCTCACTTTGATATGCTAATTGGTTGTGACATTGGATATGAGCATGCTTCCAAAATTAACACATGCCATAAATGTCATGTACTTTTATTATACAAATGCATTTAAATGTCTAAATAAACTATTTTCCTGCAGGAACTCTACACTGCAAAGCAGTCCCCTAAGAGTGAAACTAAACAAGATTCACATGAAGAAGATTCTTTGGGGAGCTACAGGTAAGAGGTAGTGTTGATACGAGTAATGGAAAACTAGAATACAATACATTTTTGCTAAATAAAACTAAAACAAGAGGAAGAACATCTACAGACATTTTCCCCATCAAAGTGAAAAGAAAAGAATCCAGGTGGTCAATCTACTAGTCAGAATGCACTTTCCTACTTAATGTAATTCATATTCTTCCAACAGAATATAAATGCAAGTGATTTGACTTTTTATTTTTAAAAGCAGCAAAACAAAAAACAAAATTTAATTGGTAAAACAGTTAATGACTTTCAAATTAAGGTAATCCATTTAAAGTAATACTTATTACTTTTTCTTGAAAGTAAAGATAATATTTAAAGAATAGAAAGAAACCAATAGTTCATTATTTCAAGTGGAAAAAATGAACATCCATTCCTAACCTATAGGAAAATGCTGGCCAACTTGCTAAGTGTCACTAAGCCTCCTTCATACACCAGTTTAACAACCTGCCAGGGGCCTCTGCAACATATAAATTCTTTATGAAACTACCCAGATATTTAACACTTGCTAGACTTAGTAGTAGTCTGTTTGTATGTGGTAGCAGTATTGGGAGTACAATATTGGGAACGGGTTACATTTTCCTCCTGCATTTCAATGTACATGTACTGCTAAATGAATAATGATAGAGACATTAAACGTGTACTCCATGCCACTAATATTTAGCAAAATAAAACAAGCAAACACGAGGACTTTGTGAGAGATTTCTTATGACTGAAGGCTTGCTTGCATGGGGTCTGCAGGTGAGAGGCCGTGGTCACTGTTAGATAAGGAGCCAGAGCTGGCAAAGGCGTGAGCGCAGCCAGAAATAGCTGAGGTTCATCCGTGCCCAGGGTTGAGAGAGGTGGACAGTCTTCCCACTGAGAGTTCCCGGGATCTGGCTGTGAACCAGAGTCTGCAGCTCCATACTGGCAGAGTGGGGAGAAGAAAGAGTCGTGGCAGCTGGCTGCTTGCACCCACTTTGCTTGGTTAAAAGCCACTGGCTACACGAGGGTGCGCTTGGAGCTGTGTTGAATGTGATGTGTCTGCTCCTGCCGTGCCATGATCTTTCATTTGTACCAGTGAGCTTTCCCCGGCCTTTTTTGTAAGAACCTAAAACTTCTTGTAAGGTTTTTTAGCATTTTATCTGTGGTTCAAATCATTTTTAAATTTTTTTTAATTTTCAATTTTTATTCATCCGTGTTTGCAGTACATAATCACATTCCTCATGGGGAGCTGGTGCCTATGAAGGCCACACCCTCATTCTCTTTTCATCCCCCCCCATCTTGTATGCTGAGATACAAGAGCCACGCTCCGACATCCCCTTGCCTAGGCCATCCTTGCATGCAACCGAAAGCACATTTGTTGAGTAAGTTTGAGTGACAGCCTGAATGTAAAAAGATTGGCATAGCCATTGTATCCAGTATTCAGATAATGGGTGTTCATAGAGCAGACACCGGTATTTTATTTTAGAGTTTAATTGAATCACAAATACTCAGATGTAGAAGGAAGTCAGGTGC